AAGCTCTTTAAATACTCATAACTCTTTATATTTAGTCCATCCATTAACTTTGAACTTTTCCTGTCCAGTCTCCTCCAAACGGTATGTAAGGAACTAGCTGAGTGGTACTTTCAGGATGGATGCTCTGTCCTGGCAGCATGCTGCTACCTTGCTGTGGACAACATTAAGGTACATACTTCTGTATATCAATTGCATAAGTATATTGTGAAGTTGTCATACATCTTACCTTTATAATAACTAATCATTAATGTGGATGTACCGTATGTGTTATGCTTTTAGTTAGCCATGTCAAGTCTTATCCGAGGTAATGAGCTGGAGTTGGCGGCATGTGTGGGTATTGGCCTAGGAGAGGCAGCTAAACAGAGCACTTCATACTGTCTTGAACTCTTGGCGAGGAAATACATGACAACAACAACATGGTACGTCTCAATCAATGCTTATTCGGTTAGTGTAAGCTACATTTTTGTGTATTAAAACTGGTTCGTTCGAGCATAGGTGGAGTCACGGCAAACCTATTTTCAGTTCGAAATTCATTAATTTTTTAATGTGGAACGTATGACAGTATCAGGGATCGAGATTCAGAGGGCTCCACCTGTACGGATAGTTCTTGGTCTGTAGAGCTCTATCGCACAACACACTGGATGCTTCTAGGGGGGGGGTGTAGTAGTCGTTGCGGAAGGAACGACCGACGGGGGGGGAATAGCCCTGTATAGGCTATTTATGATGACATAGGTAGTACATGAGTGTTCCTTTAACTCATGTTGTCAGTGTAATTGACAGGCTGCTTAACTGGTTAACTCTTAAATTCAACATATTTGTTCAGGCAGTGAGAGGACAGGCAATGATGCAGAGAGCACAGGGAGAGGAGAAACACCAGGTCCAATAGAGAGAGGAGAAGCACAGAGGAGCCATGAACGTGTTCTGGGGTTCATGGCTCCTCTGTGCAAGGCAGGACCTGACGTGGAGGACAAGGAGGCCCTCTGGGCACTACTGTAAAAAGGAGACTCCGTATGTAGATAGTTCTTAATCTGCAATTGTCTTGTTGTGTTGTGTTGACATACTTTTCTTTACTGTTTTCTTAAATTTAACATTTAACATAATGCAATATAGTCAGGACAGCCTTACAGAGTCGCGACGCTTCGCATCGCGTCGAGGTCTGTATGATCACAAAATTCAGAGTTTACTCACCTCTAATTTTACCACTACAGCACTGGTAATGCCTGTAAAGGGAGACACAGTGACGCATTAAACCAGCGCGGCTAACTAAGAAGCCTCTAATGCATTTATTTACAAATGCCATTTTAAATTCATCTCATAGCACTTAGATGTGGTGTATACATTTACTTAACCTGCACTACAATGATGGTAAGAATTTATTTAACATGCGTGTGTGTTTCAGAGTGTGTCTGAGTGTGAGTTTGTGCGTCTGAGTGTGGTATAGAGAACAAGATCTGAAAAAGTCAATGAACCTTTTCCATTGCTCCTCTGTAGCGTCAGTTTAAAATGCTTGTGGCCTCACAAGATGTTTATGGTGGAAAAAGCTGTCCAGAGTTGCCAGGGCCTTTTTTTAATTAGGCTGGAATAAAACTGCGTCAGTGTCTGCAGCGTCGTTCCAGGTTACGCCCCGCTGTGTTTATTTTCCGGAGCTCATGTGTGAACCAGGGAGCGGAGAGAGAAATTGCTCAGGGATGTATTCGGGAAATCCAGGAATTCATCCATTGATGCAGAGGCAGGTGATGAGCTGGAGGTCCATGGTCATAGCGGCTGAGTCAATGCTCCAGTCCCGGAAATACATTTGACGCTCAGGTCTAACAGTAGGGAGCATGAAAGTCAAGGCCATTGAGACCACCTTGTGGGCGGACACACCAAGATCATAAACCTGCAGGTTACTGATGGGAGCAGAGTCAGTGCAGACTGACAGGAGGGGTTACCAACATGAATATTTAAATCGCCAACAATGACAATATTAGTTGACATAGTGCAGAGTGAAGTAAGTAGTAAGTTATCTCAGGTAGAAAAGATGGGTTTGGCTTTGGAGGACGGTATATGACAAGCACTGTCATGCAGCATGGACATTTGCATTTGAAGGCCAGGTATTCCATAGAGGATCAGACATTGGCAGAGGAGGCCGTTTTAGTTCAGCATAATGGATGGTCCACCACCACGACCAGGGCTGTGGGCTTTCTCCATGTAGTTATAGCCAGGGGGTTATGCTTCTTTAAGCACGGCGTAGTCCCCTTGTTTATGCCAGGTTTCTGTTAGGGACATAAAGTCAAGCCCTTTGTCCAGAATATGGTTGCTGATGAGGAGGGATGTATTACTGTGTTACTACTAGCAGCTCCATGTGGTAGGAGACAGAGCTGGGGTCAGAAGTCTCTACAAGCTCCGTAATGCACTGCGATCGACTCCATGTTAGCCGTTGTGCCTTAGTCTTGTGATGTTTCTGATGATGGACTCATAAGGGCTGTCAGCGAACAGTCTATATTTGAATATGTATTGGAATAGTTGTTACAACTATTCAAAAACATATTATTCCAATGTGAAAATTAATATTCAAATGTAAAAAAAAACAAAAAACTGCGCGACTACTTGCTGACTACTGACTGTATATTGCATGAATAAAATGGACCAGATACGCCACAACAGCGTCATGCACTGGTTTGATTATTTGCCGCTTCATGCCAAGGAAAAGTTACGTGTTTACCAAGAGGTCTGCTGTGTTGGCCATTAGTTAATTTGCTTATTTTTGTGTAGGTAATATGTTAAACTTAAATAAATTATCTATACAAGTAGTTGTCGCGTTGTATTAATTTGTCCTGTTATTCACGTGCCTAATACGCAACCATATATGTGTTATATATATGAATATATGTGTTTTTATTCAAACGTCACTTTTGAGCAAGATGGAACCATGGAGACCGGTGTATGAAATCATTACCAGCATTGATGTGAAAAACAGAAGCGCGTTTGCTAACGACCACAGGGCACGAGCAGCTCCAGCCGGGTTCCTGTTGTACAGTGCATCCGGAAAGTATTCACAGCTTTATCCACATTGTTATGTTACAGCCTTATTCCAAAATGGATTAAATTCATTATTTTCCTCAACATTCTACACACAACAACCCATAATGACAAAGTGAAAACTGTTTTTTGCAAATTTGTGCAAATCTGTTAAAAATAAAGAATGAAAACATGTACATAAGTATTCACAGCCTTTGCTCAATACTTTGTTGAAGCACCTTTGGCAGCAATTACAGCCTCAAGTCTTGGGTATGATTCCACAAGCGTGGCACACCTATTTCTGGGCAGTTTCTCCCATTCTTCTTTACAGAACCTCTCAAGGTCCATCAGGTTGGATGAGAGCGTCGGTGCACAGCCATTTTCAGATCTCTCCAGAGATGTTCAAGTCAGGGCTCTGGCTGGGCCACTCAAGGACATTCAGAGTTGTGCCGAAGCCACTCCTTTGGTATCTTGGCTGTGTGCTTCGGGTCGTTGTCCTGTTGGAAGATGAACCGTCGCCCCAGTCTGAGGTCCAGAGCGCTTTGGAGCATGTTTTCATCGAGGATGTCTCTGTACATCGCTGCATTCATCTTTCCCTCAGTCCTGACTAGTCTCCCAGTTCCTCCTGCTGAAAAACATCCCCACAGCATGATGCTGCCGCCACCATGCTTCACTGTAGGGATGGTATTGGCCAGGTGATGAGCAGTGCCTGGTTTCCTCCAGACATGACACTTGGCATTCAGGGCAAAGAGTTCAATCTTTGTTTCATCAGACGAGAGAATTTTGTTTCTCATGGTCTGAGAGTCCTCCAGGCGGGCTGTCATGTGCTTTTTACTGAGGAGTGGCTTCCGTCTGGCCTCTCTACCAAACAGGCCTAATTTGTGGAGTGCTGCAGAGCTGGTTGTCCTTCTGGAAGGTTCTCTCCTCATAGAATAACGCTGGAGCTCTGTCAGAGTTCCTGGTTACCTCCCTGACAAAGGCCCTTCTCCCCCGATCGCTCAGTCTGGCTGGCCAACTCTAGGAAGAGTCCTGGTGGTTCCAAACTTCTTCCATTTCCGG